CAAAAGAGATAGAATACGGCAGGTAGTTTGTATACATGAATAGACAAACACGTACGAATTAGAGCAATAAATACAGCAGAGGCAAGAGAAAATCCGGTCTTTGAAACCTCAGCTTGAGTCATGGAGAAGAATCGAGAAAGCATCCAAACGCAAAAAACCCCTATATCTACACGTTCTCGTCCATCCGAACTGGCGAGTATCCATCCCGTTGGCTTCGTCCTCCAAGAACCGACGTCCAGCCGCCCATGCTCATTCTCCTCATAAACCCTTTTCTTCCACTATCCTCGTTCAATAATCCCTCTTCTTCCATTCGTTCCCTTCTTCGTCGCTTGGCTTCTCGGAAGCCCTCTGGTGGTATCTCATACAGACGCTCATAGTCAACTCCAACCTGAACAAAGCGAACTAGTTAGTACAGAACTCGGAGAAATGAGAAAGTACGCACCTCTTTACCCATACTCCAAAAGTCTCTACAGTTGCTTATACACCCCAAATCGAACGGATTCTTCACCGAGTTCGTTTTTCCCAACTTGATAAGGCCCTCTCGGTCCTTACTCTGAGTAAACCGATCCAGTCCCATGAGCTTCATCAGGAAGCCCATTCGTCCTCCAGAGAGAACTCCACCTTGACCATGGGCGTGTCGATGGGTGTGAGTAGTCGGGAGTGCATCCGCACCAGCGTCGGTACCACCAGCCGCATGGAGAGCAGAGACGGCACCCATTTGACCTTGTAAACTGGTACCGCGTCCACCCATCCATCCGTATCGACCGAGATTTGATACCTCGTATGTGGTCATCTGCCGACACACTTGCCAGACCTGGCTACCGAGTAACAAGAACGTCCAGGGTAGTTGAAGGTTGGTCCAGAAGAGAAGTGAGGTGAGGAACGAGTCGAATTGGGTAGCTGCACATAGCGAGTCCGGTAGAATGCAAGCGCCCATTGGATCCTCGGCTGGAGGTGGAGTTCCGGTATGTGAAGCAGCGTGAGCTGGTGGGACGTCTGAACCGACTAGCGAGCGTATGAAGGAGTATACTGGGACAGTCGGTGGTGGACCTGAAGGAGGGAATGGCGTGTTGAGCGTGAAGACTAGAGAGATACATTTAGTCGGGATCTCCCAAACAAACAAAGGATACACGTACATGCAAATGCCAGATAGTCGAACACCATGATACCGACGACAAGCGTAGTGACAAAGACGAGGAATTGTCGGTGGTTGCCCACGCCCACGCAATTCCATACCCACGGGCAATGACTATTAAATTGCCAAATCTCAGTATCCAACTATCGAACAAGGATAAAAGTGAATACATACTGATCATGTCTTCCAATGCACTTGTCGCAGTGTCTGCAGTGCTTGCTTCGAAGAGGTTTCTGAGCCATACAGCTGACACAGAAGGTCTGACCATTGAGGCGTCCCTCACTCGTCAAGTTCTCAATGATCTATGAAAGGGTGTCAATCCCAATTTTAACGCGAATTAAGAGGGGTAAATGGTGGCGTAAGTGATAACCAAGGACTAACCAGTTTCTTTTCCTCGTCACTTGCGGGTAGAGGGCAGACTCCGGGATCAAGAGTAATGGCGCGGAACAGATTATATGCACATAAGATGAAAAGGAGGGCGAAGGCCAAGTTGGCGGTGGCGTATCCGGGGGTGTCTAGTGGTTGTGTTAGAAAATACCCAACTAACCAGAATCGGAAAACTGACTGTAAACAAGTCTGGTGAACCAAGTCCATCCGAGCCACACCATAGTGCCGATGATGATACCAGCACAGTAGGGAGAATTTGTCAAACCCCCTTCACCAGTACCATGTTTCGCGCCTAAAACAACATTAGTAAAAGTATACAAGCTAGTAGTTTGAGATGGACTAACCTAGGAGAACCCGGCTGACAACGTGGTGCATTCCAAAGAACTCTGCACCCGCCAAGGGAAGAGCAGTCCACCATGGCAGAATCTCGAACGTCTTAAAGATGGCACCGAGACAGAGAGTAGGGAGGATGAGGATAGCGAGCTTTGTATTGCGATCTGAGAGAACGGGACGCTTGAGAGGGATACCCTACATGTATGAGTCAGCACATCGCCAAGAGAAAGGTTTGACTGCGCACCATCTCATCCAGGCCACCTTCCTCCAAAGCCTTCTTGAACGGAATAAAGCTCTTGAGACTCTGCGCCAACTCTCGTGGTGTCTTTCCAGTTTCGTCGCGAACCTGGAGCAGTCCAGGAGAAGCCTCTACCAGTCTTCGAATAACAGACTGCATAATCGACATTTGTTAGCTTCCCAAAGTCGATACGAGGTAGATTAAATGGTGATAAACGGACCTTATTTGCCTTTACGACACCCCAGTGAAGCGCGGTCATGCCCTTTTCGTCTTGTAGTGTTACCTCGGCCCCATGTTTGATAATGATGTCGACAGAGATAGCGTCCCCTTGGTATGCGGCCCACATGAGCGGGGTATGGCCCTATGATGATGATGAGTCTTGGCATACTCCTAGAAGTCGGATCTACCCACTTGTAAATCCCTGCAATTGACGCTCACGGGCTGCTGGAGCATATAGAGTAGAGACATGACGGAAGAAGAATGTGTCGTGAGCTGAAGACTGTCATAGCCCTGCGAGTCCTTGATAGTCGGGTCCGCATTATGAGAGAGTAATAGGTGGAGGACGTATAGGTGGCCATTCCTGTCGTAAAGCGGACACAATTCCATATCAGCGCCAAATTCATCCAGAAAGGGCAGCCAGACATGCGGCAATACCTACCTGGCAGCCCATTGCAACGGCGTGGCAGCTAGTTCGCCGCCAATGACATCCACTTCAGCACCTACAAGAAGGGAAATCATTAGCGAATCTAGACTTTTATGATCCCGTTGCTCCATCATAACACCTCTACTCACCCTGATCGAGAAGATAACGGCAGATATGTAGATGAGCATTGATAGCCGCCCAGTGTAATGGTGAAATATTTTGTGGATCACGTTCGTTTACGCTTGCTTGACCTGACTCGATCAGATTTTTGACGATGGTGAGGTCTCCTCGTTGGCAGGCCGCGAAGATATTCTGTGCATGTGGAGGTGTAATTGAACCGAAGCGAGTGACAGCGGCAGTTGTAGATGTCCATGGAGAGAGATGTAATATAATGTTGGAACGTTTCATGACATGATTTTGATTTTGAGAGGCGTTATGTTTAATAAAATCCGTACGTAGCAATGGAGACGCGTCACGCCGAGCGGAAAGAGGGACAGGCAGTTAGCAGACAATCCTCAAGCATACTCCATAAAAGATATAAAGTGTAGGTTGCTCACGTTTTCGGGATCTTGCATCGAAGCGGTCTCATCGTGAGCACCGAGACCAGATATCTCAGCTTGTGCATCGGTTTCCGTGGTCACTGCAGTAGTAGGACCGGTGGTACCTCTAGAGAGCGGTAATCCAGCACTTGAAGACATGGTTGAGTCGAATTACCCCAGTCTGCCGTGGAAAGTTGGACTAGTCGGAATCCGGGTTTAGGAGGAACGATGACAAAGTGGTGGCCAGTGAAAGCGTGAACTATATGAATAGGTGGTATGATACGGAATCGAGAGAATGGATGGTTATAAAGGTCAGCTGTGCTATATTGGGCCCGTATCCCACTCGTCCTAGGCGCCTTTACTTTTTGCTGTCGACGTGGTCAACTCCTAGAGTGATATTATAGACCTCGTTGATGATTTCCGGCTGTTTAATGTTTGCCAAACGGTATTGGGAGTGGAAAGTCGAGACGAGGTCAGCTCTAGGTGGTCCGCTGGATTGGGCCCAGCGCGGTGTGCGCAGGAGGCGATGCGTCTTGCTTATTAGGAAATTGGTCGGGATAGATCCATGGCCCAGCATAAAAACATTTTCAGAAATATCGTGGACGATATCTACAGTGATTTGGCTAGGTGTTGGTGAATTTTGCGAGATTTTGTGTGGCGACCGAGATGCTGTGTCGGTGTTGACCTGAGCTTCGTCCATAACCATGTCCTGTCGACAATCTGTGGAGCTTGCCATGGGAAGAGCCCGTTACCAATTACAACCATCGTGTGGGATCATGCTTGCAACCTTCGTTCTGTTATTCCAACTCTGGACTACGGTGATCTCGACATGTTTTATGAATTCTAAAAGACGTCGAGTTGCGGGTGAGTACCAGCAGGCAAATCCAATCTCTGGTGATTTGAGCCAATCACGTCAAACTTACCGTCAGTACTATTCTTCGTGTCAATACACCATACGAACGTGCCGAGGCCACTGATACGTCCCCTTCTTTATCTCAAAATCAAGCCGAATTCGCCATAGAGCCTCAAAACCAAAGTTGATATAGAGGTAAATACATGGTCAGGACAAGTCGAGCACCTCTCGGAGGACGTCGTATAACCCAAGGATGGGAGCCCTTTCGTTATAGATGTCCGGGCTCGAGTAGCCTATTATGCCACACTCTCCCCAGCAGTCATTTCTTGTTTGGGACATGTATCCACGGGTAGCCAGTACTTTGGCTTGCTTCCCTTTGGAGGCTCGGGAGATATCCCCGAAATACTAGAACATGGATCTAACGTGTTTAATGATAAATAACAAAAACAAAAGAAATCTATGGCTGTCAATACTGAGCTCGTGAACAGAGTGGGCGACAGAGTGCTGGCTCTAAGGTTTTAAGCTAAGAAGTGTCTGATCTCGATCCGAGAAGACGGGCTTTACATCTCGGGGTAGAGGTGGGCAACAGGTGGCGTAGTCACCGATTGACTTGAGCCTGGGCCGATCCCAGAAAGCACTTGCCAAAAGACCGTGGCGAGAGCTCCCACAATGTCAGGTTCGACTGTAGAACACAATGTATTCAATGGCACACATGATAGTTTCGGCCTCCAGATGACGGAGATAGCACCGAGTTTGCAGCCCAGGTTAGTCACTTACAATTCTAGTTCAACAACTGACCTCTCTTTGTGGTATCTATCAGCTATAGCACATATACCGTATCCAATCCAAACGAAAGGGCCGTCCTCCTGAGGTTGATTGAGCAGGACAGAGAAGAACTGCAATCTATATCCCTGATGATTGATACACGAAGGCGACACAAAGGAGAGCTAGAAAACAGCCTAGGGAAAATAAAGGAGAATTTTGAAGCTGTTTCAATTCTACACGAATGCTTTCAGGCCCGAATCAAAGGAAACGAGGAAAGCCTTGCACGGATCCTAAAAAAGCGACATGAATTAAAGGTTAATCCAGATTCAAATGGCTCAGATGTCAACAATAAGACCGATGAGTCTCTCTTGCTAGCTATTTCGAAGATCTATGAAGCCGAAATAGGCCTCGCTCAATCGAACCTAGAGGCAGATGCCAAAAAGCTAGATGAAATGGCACTCAAAAAGCACGAGCTAAATGTTCGAATGCGTCTTGCCCAATTTCTTCTGGATGCGGAGACCAAGTATCTCACATCTTTGGTGAATCACCATCAAGATCTCACGTTGACAATTTCGGAAAAGCGGAATATTGCTCTAAACTCGATAATCCTCCCAGATACGATCCTCCTTCATATCTTTCATCAAGTACTGGAGAGTTCCATAGAAGAGGCTCGAATGCAGGTCGACCAGCCCACAAATAATATAACCTTGACTCTCACACGGGTTTGCAGGAGGTGGAGGTATTTGGTAAAAGATACTCCTTCGTTGTGGAGATACATACCCCTCGCGATAAATTACACCCGTAATAAGATAGGCAAACCCGCCTACTATCTATCGCACGTTTCCCAGGCCCAAAAGCTAGTCTTCCATTGGCCTCTGCAGTTACTAGATATTAACAAGCCAGCACTACATTTATATGCTGGATTCTATTCCAAGCGTGATGCCATGCATCACTATCACGCACTTTTACAGGCAGAGCCACTTGCGATTCTCCAAGCACAGATCTCGAAAGAGCATAACTTGCTCCTCTGTAATTTTAATTCGATAGAAATCATTGGGAGGAATGCACATAAAACTTTCAATTTGCAAGTGCCTGCAGAGTGTTACATCATTCGAGAGCTACGACCTATCTCTGTTGATGATCAAGTTAGTGCCAAACTCTGTGTTTTGTTCCTCATTATCTCGACTTTATCCACTACTGATCTCGCCAACGT